TTCAGTCATGTAGCATGTTGATGTTTCTGTCAGTTCTCAGTCTGACCTCCAGGGGGCGCTGCGACAATTTGCATGCCCATCAATAGCTAACAGGTCAAAGGTCTCTTTGCAGCCGTGGCGAAAGCAGGAAAGATAATATGTGATAAGATTCAAAGTTTGAATTGAACATTTTACAGAACAGACTTCTTAAAACGTCAGGGGCTCACTGCTGCCCCCTGTGGTCGCACGACAGAAGAAAGGTGTTTTCAATTTTTTTTAATGGAGAAAAGATTTAAAAGACGAGGAAATTATTTGTTGCATCTCTTTTTAACATCATTAAGTGTCATGTATGACACTCAAGGTGCAAAGTGTGAATAACTGTGAATGGAGGAGATACAGTCGTCCGTAGATCTGTAAACAGTTTCTATAGGACGTCTTTTGCTGAACGGTTGATGTGAACTAGTCACGGCTGCAGACTGACCTGTGATTGGCCTCCACAGAAAAGGAGGCTGTGGTTGGGATCATCACTGCGAGCTGCAACGTTAATCACACAGACAAAAAGCCATGAAGCTTTGCCAAGGATCGAAAAGTCTTCTGAAATGTGTCGAGCGTTTTGGTTTCCACCGCAGTCCGACAATCTGACGAGCACTTTGTTGGAACGATCAGACGCCTTAACATTCACAGTAGATTCTGGTCGTTGAATATTGGCATATTTGTCACTTTTAATAGAGCTAGCAGTTTCCCTCTGCTTCCAGTCTGTATGCTAAGCTAGGCTATAAACATCCTGGACCTACTGACAGTTTGTGCTTGATTGATCAGTCTGTGGAGTGATGACTGCAGCCACAGCCAAATGCTAACTAAAAAGAATTCATCCACGACAAGAAGAAATGATTTTTTACAGTACTGAGATGAATCTGCTTCTTTTTCTCCGTATGGCATGATGACCAGTGAAATGTAAAAAGAAACCAGTTCAGCCAGTGACGTGTCAGGTTAGAGTCCCAGCTGAGTCGTCACACTTCAGCTGTCAGGAGTTTAAAAACTGATTTGAAAAAGGTCTGAACTGGTTTCTAACAGAACAGAAACCCACAGCAGCAGCAGGAGGAGGGGGAGGGGGAGGGGAGGGGAGGGGAGGGGGGTGAAGCCAAATGTAAAGTAAAAACTAAAAAGCCTTAAATGAATAAAAGTGGTGCAATTTTGTAACAGCAACCTGCAGCGTGGATTTATTCTGATATTTACATTATAGGGGCATGTCGCCCTCTGGTGGTCATAGCTTAAATTACATCATACACATTCACAGAGAAATACAACAGCAGACACTTTCAAGTATTGATTGATTATTTTGTCCTATATTAATTGTTTTAACGATTTATAGACTAAATGTAGCAGATATTAACATAAACTGCCATGTAAGGAAACTACGGAGGCCCTGAAACCCCAAAAAGTAAACGTTTTTAAGACAGGGGAAACGTTATTGATCCCCCATTGGAGGAAATTAGTTTGTTACAGCAGCTAACACGGGGGCAAAAGTAATAATAATAGAACATTAATTATAATATAATATATTTTATAACCCGCCATATTTATCATTTTATATGATTTATAATATTATTTTTTATTTTAGTTTCATAATGTCTAGAAACGTAAGGAGATAATTAATAATGTAGGTCACTAATTTAATTTGTATAAAATAAAATCTAAGGTCGTAAAAAACAAAGAACAGCTTACGTGTGACGTCAGAGGTAAACTGTGTGAATACGCATGCGCAAGACACTCAGCTGCCATGACAACGGCGGCATCTTGTTCCTGTGACTGAAGCTGCGGGGAGGAATGGAGCGGCTGGTTAGCATCGCTTACCAGGTCAGTTAACTGGTTCCACTGGTTCCACGACGAACACCAGCTGCTTAACGAACACAGGGGATCGCGTGATGACCGAGCAGTGAGATCTCGCGGTGTTTTGTCTGCGGTGAGAGCGACATGACCGTCCGCTTCAAGGTAATCAACAGGTGTTAGCATTAGCCACAGGTTAGCTTCAACAGACTGGTGCTAAAGTACGTAGCTATATGTCCCAGTAGCTGAATAAGTTATAAACTGGTCGTTACTGGGTTACAGACATGTTTAATAAACCTCTCCCAGTTTACTGGACAGAACCGGAAGTGCAGAGTCTGATAATCCGGATCATCAGTTTCACACTTTGTTTACAGGAAGTCTGATTAATGTGATATTAATGTGAGGACAGAGGGAATAACGTTCTGTTTGTTGGATTTGTTTATGTTTGTTTGTTTGTTTCAGTGTCAGAGTGAATACCAGAAGAGCTACAGGTCCAGAAGTGTCTCTCCTCAGAGCTGCGCCTGCGCCGGCCTGCGCTCAGCCCACCTGGGTAAGAAGCTGATGACGACAGGAAACAGTTTCACCTGAGACTTTAAATGACTGATTAGACTCTGACCCTTTCTATAATAATGTAATGTAAGATATTATAATATCAAATATAATATAATGTAATATCAAATATAATATCATATAATATAAAATATAATATAATGTAATATAACATAATATCCACAGTTCAGTAGTCAGTACTTTATATAATAATATAATGTAATAATATAATATAATGTAATGTAATGTAATGTAATGTAATGTAATGTAATGTAATGTAATGTAATGTAATATAATATAATATAATATAATATAATATAATATAATATAATATAATATAATATAATATAATATAATATAATATAATATAATATAATGTAATGTAATGTAATATCCACAGTTCAGTAGTCAGTACTTTATATAATAATATAATATAATGTAATGTAATAATATAATATAATGTAATGTAATGTAATGTAATGTAATGTAATGTAATAATATAATATAATATAATGTAATGTAATGTAATATAATATCCACAGTTCAGTAGTCAGTACTTTATATAATAATATAATATAATATAATATAATGTAATGTAATGTAATATAATAATATAATATAATATAATATAATGTAATGTAATGTAATGTAATATAATATAATATAATATAATATAATATAATATAATGTAATGTAATGTAATGTAATGTAATGTAATGTAATGTAATGTAATGTAATGTAATGTAATATAATATAATATAATATAATATAATATAATATAATATAATATAATATAATATAATATAATATAATATAATATAATGTAATGTAATATAATATCCACAGTTCAGTAGTCAGTACTTTATATAATAATATAATATAATGTAATGTAATGTAATGTAATGTAATGTAATGTAATGTAATATAATATCCACAGTTCAGTAGTCAGTACTTTATATAATAATATAATATAATGTAATGTAATATAATATAATGTAATGTAATGTAATATAATATAATAATATAATATAATATCCACAGTTCAGTAGTCAGTACTTTATATAATGTAATGTAATGTAATGTAATGTAATGTAATGTAATGTAATATCCACAGTTCAGTAGTCAGTACTTTTCAGTAGGAGTTTCAGTAGACTGAACCCTTGTGGTCATTCATTGGTCATCTTTTGGGTCCACCTCAGTATACTGAATATTTCAGTATGGATACTAACTTCCTGGTTTCATGCAGTATGGATCGGATGCGTGCTTTCAGGAAATGAATTGTATTTTACCCACAATGCTGTGCGAAATTAAACATAAATCGTCACGAGCGTGGATTAATAGAATACATTTTTAATTTAGAATTAAAGTCCCGACTGAAATCACTACTTTAAATTAACAACAGAAAATAAAACAAATATCTGCATTATTATAAAACCTTTCTCCCTCTATTTAAATAATGATGTCACTATTTAAATAATGATGTCACTATTTAAATAATGATGTCACTATTTAAATAATGAGTTCACTATTTAAATAATGATTTCTCTATTTAAATAATGAGTTCACTATTTAAATAATGACGTCACTATTTAAATAATGATGTCTCTATTTAAATAATGATGTCTCTATTTAAATAATGATGTCACTATTTAAATAATGATTTCTCTATTTAAATAATGATGTCACTATTTAAATAATGATTTCTCTATTTAAATAATGATTTCACTATTTAAATAATGATTTCACTATTTAAATAATGAGTTCACTATTTAAATAATGAGTTCACTATTTAAATAATGATGTCTCTATTTAAATAATGATGTCTCTATTTAAATAATGATGTCACTATTTAAATAATGATTTCTCTATTTAAATAATGATGTCACTATTTAAATAATGAGTTCACTATTTAAATAATGATTTCACTATTTAAATAATGATTTCACTATTTAAATAATGATTTCACTATTTAAATAATGATGTCTCTATTTAAATAATGATGTCTCTATTTAAATAATGATGTCACTATTTAAATAATGATGTCACTATTTAAATAATGATTTCTCTATTTAAATAATGAGTTCACTATTTAAATAATGATTTCACTATTTAAATAATGATGTCACTATTTAAATAATGAGTTCACCATTTAAATAATGATGTCTCTATTTAAATAATGATGTCACTATTTAAATAATGATTTCTCTATTTAAATAATGATTTCTCTATTTAAATAATCAGTTCACTATTTAAATAATGATGTCTCTATTTAAATAATCAGTTCACTATTTAAATAATGATGTCTCTATTTAAATAATGATGTCTCTATTTAAATAATGATGTCTCTATTTAAATAATCAGTTCACTATTTAAATAATGATGTCTCTATTTAAATAATGATGTCTCTATTTAAATAATGATGTCTCTATTTAAATAATCAGTTCACTATTTAAATAATGATGTCTCTATTTAAATAATCAGTTCACTATTTAAATAATGATGTCTCTATTTAAATAATGATGTCTCTATTTAAATAATGATGTCTCTATTTAAATAATGATTTCTCTATTTAAATAATGATTTCTCTATTTAAATAATGATGTCTCTATTTAAATAATGATGTCACTATTTAAATAATGATTTCTCTATTTAAATAATGATTTCACTATTTAAATAATGATGTCACTATTTAAATAATGATTTCTCTATTTAAATGTGTCTTTATTGGTTTATTTTATATTCTGTATATTACTGTCTTTCATTTGTTCTTTATGTACTGTATGTTATTTAGTTATTTAATCTTTTACTTGATTTACATTGTGATATTGTTTTTTGTTTACCTGACTGCATATGAGCATTACTCTTCTTGAATAAAGATAAACAAAAAAAAACGGGTGAATGCGTTCGGGGGACGTAAATGACATCACTTCTTTATTGAATGAATCAGAAGAAGTAGGAACAAATATCTGCCTACTGAACAGTATACAGCACAGGAGAGAGAGAGAGAGAGAGAGAGAGAGAGAGAGAGAGAGAGAGAGAGAGAGAGACCTCATGGGGTTCAGCCTGACCTCTAAGCTGTCTGCGTCCTTAGAAAATGATTTCTGAACACTTGATTGTGTGAAATGTCCGTCAAACAGAATCTGATCTGGATTCTATAAACGACAGACTCAGATGTTATTTGTCTCGTCCTCCTCTCAGGTATCAGCAGAGAACCAGGTCTCCAGCGGCGGAAGAAGCCAGGTGGTCTGGCTCAATCCTGCAGCTCTCTCCTCTGTCCCCCACAATCACAGCTGACCACTGAAGCACTTAAAACAACAGCTCCCCCTGCTGGTAGGGAGTCTTCTGTTTGTATCAGCTGTGTTTCATGAAGCTCTTATTTTACAAATCATTTCAATTAAATGTCAGTCAGATATTATGTTTTATAGTTAATAAGATATTCTTTTAATGTCTCCCTCTCTGCAGCCTCCAGGAGTCGTTCCGCCCACGGGAGGGAGTCTTCTCTTCAGCCCAAACCTTCAGCACCTCCGGATTCTGCTGCTGCAGAGCCTAAGACTCCTGCAGGACCCCGACCTGCTGCAGACCCTGAACCCTCAGTGGACCCAGAAGCTGCTGATAAACCTGGTTAGTCTGCATCATGTTGCTACATCAGGGCTTAAAAGGTCTCTCTGAATTTGGACCCTTCATTCTGAGCTGTAACGTTGTGAATGTCTTTTCAGCGCAGCCCCGCCTCCCCAAACCTGACAGCCAATCACAACAGAGCCAACCTCTGACAGCAGCAGTTGATGGACAGCTGTCATCGAACAACGAGGTGAGCCGAAACACTAAAAGCTGTAAACTGATTCAGAGTCTCTTTTAAAATCTAACTTCTGACTCTGTCACAGGTCCTGAGGGCTTTGCGGGGGAGGGCAGGGCTGAGGTCAGGAGGTCAAAGGTCAGGAGGTCATCGGTCAGAGTACCACAGACAGTTCAGCTGGAAGAAACCTACAGCTGCTGCTTCACCGCTACTGACTGCAGAACAGGTACTCCATCACCTTACACACCGAAATACTACAAAATGTTCCCCTCACTATCTGATCATTAAGGAAACATGCAGCAGCCAGTATGTCCTCCTTCTGACTTTTGAAAAATGGAGAGAGGTTAGAACACAGAAAGGTTTACAGACCCATGCAGAGCTGGATAAACACTGAAGCTTCAGAGTCCACCACATGGTGACCTGAGTGAGCATCCACTCTAGAGAGAGGGGGGGAGACAGCTCTCTATGATGTTTAGAATTTAGACTGCAGTACACATTTTAAACACTAGGGGTCAGAGTTACATACTGCTCCTTTATTGTCTGGTCCAAGTTTTAATCATCATATCTCACAAAAGCCTTTTGCCAGGTTTTGTTTTGTCTTATTAAATATTTATTAGTGTCATTTGTGTGAAGGTTTCTAACAAATGAAAGTAGATTTTAGTTTGTCTTGACCTGAAGCACTTTGGACTACATGTTCTGTAGATATAATACAAACACAACATGTAGTTCATCAGTGTGTCCACCAGAGGGAGGTAGAGTAACAACAGAAGTTTGACACCCACCCCCCGCAGGTGCTTTACTCCAGCAGCAGGTCTGTGCCCCCCTTTAAGAAGAATCCTGTCACCGTGGAAACAGAGTACCGGCGCAGCTTCCAGGGTGTTGCTCCGCCCACTAGACCCCGCCTTCGGAAACACCTGGAACATGAGCGGGTCCCCCTGTTCCACACACACATGGTACACACACACACACACACACACACACACACACACACACACACACACACAGCCTCTGACAGCTCTCTCACTCTGAGCTGTTTTTATCTGCAGAACAACAAAAAGAGGAGGGAAGAGAAGAAGCTCCGCCCCTCCCCCGTGAAGGCTGATGCCACGCCCCCTCCTCCTCGGGTACACAGGTGTGTTTCTGTGTGTGTGCGTCTTTGTTCTGTGTGATGTTTGTTACATGTGTGACGGTGTGTGTCTGTCTGACAGGAGTTTCACAGAATATGAGTCCAGCTTTCGTTCTCCTCTCTACAGGATCCCGGAGGAGGGCAGAGCCTCAGACGGTGACGCCCCTCAGGTCAGGCTCTCTGCTTGTTAAACGTGCATCATGACGTCTTTCATAATGAGCTCATGTTTGAAGCTACAGGTCACATTGAAGGGGGTCTCAGAGGACAGAACAAACAACTAGCTGTGGGAGGGGCTACTGCCCTTTGTGATGTCATGAAGGGAAAAGATGGAGAGGATGGACTTTTCTCATCATTGGGGGGTTTGTAGACTAGAGACACATGCTACACACACACACACACACACACACAGACACACACACACACACACACACACACAGACACACACACACACACACACACACACAGACACAGACACACACACAGACACACACACGCACACACAGACACACACACACACAGACACAGACACACACACACACACACAGACACACACACGCACACACAGACACACACACACACACACAGACACAGACACAGACACAGACACAGACACAGACACACACACGCACACACACAGACACAGACACACAGACAGACACAGGCTGAAATAAAAAATGGAGCAGCAGTGATGGAGAGATGTCAGAGTTAGGGGCTGCCCACATGAGCCGGGGGGGGGGGGTACCTTTCCAGCTAGCAGACCAATTTCCAGATTTGGTCCTCTTTGGGAATTGAACTGTGTGTGTGTGTGTGTGTGTGTGTGTGTGTGTGTGTGTGTGTGTGTGTGTGTGTGTGTGTGTGTGTGTGTGTGTGTGTGTGTGTGTGTGTGTGTGTGTGTGTGTGTGTGTGTGTGTGTGTGTGTGTGTGTGTGTGTGTGTGTGTGTGTGTGTGTGTGTGTGTGTGTTCCCTGCATAGAGAATTCTTAGCGCCAAAAGAAAAAAAAGACGATTCAAATCAAATCTTCTCTGAATGTTACAAATATGAAAACATCAAACGACTGTTGAACAATCAGAACTTAAACACGACGTCTCTGACTTCCAGCAGTCATCTCTCCTCTCATGTGGCTCGCTCTGGATAGTCAGCTGATTGACTGTTTGTTTCTTTTGGCTCCGCTGACACCCACAGGCTAAATGAGGTTGATTTTCAGCTTGGTGAGTTCATTTCAAAGAGTAATGCTCTTCATGGTGCATATTTATCCCAACAGTGTTAAAACTAAACCACGCATGATGAAGCTGCAGCTACTTGTCTCTGCTCCTCTGCTGTCTGCAGACGGGTCATCATCCAGATGATCTGTGATTATTTGACATAATACCTTAACTCAAAAAAATATACTTAAACAAATGTGTATTTAAAAACGAAAACACAATTTAAAAGATGGTGAAATGAACTGAGGATGTGACCCCCCCTCTCCCAATCTCATTACATACCACTCCTCCCGTTTCACTGTTGCAATAAAAAAAATCTTGACCAGATTTAATTTAGGTTTCAGTAACTTAATCATAATGATAATATTATTTATAAAATGGTCAGAAATAACAGGAACCCCCCAAAGGCCCATTGTGTGTGTGTGTGTGTGTGTGTGTGTGTGTGTGTGTGTGTGTGTGTGTGTGTGTGTGTGTGTGTGTGTGTGTGTGTGTGTGTGTGGTGTGTGTGTGTGTGTGTGTGTGTGTGTGTGTGTGTGTGTGTGTGTGTGTGTGTGTGTGTGTGTGTGTGTGTGTGTGTGTGTGTGTGTGTGTGTGTGTGTGTGTGTGTTGCTGATGGAAAACCTGAGTACAGACAGTCAGCACTGAAAACCACAGAGCTTCATTTCAGGGAAACATGTCAGTGTTAGTCATAGATACACACACACACACACACACACACACACACACACACACACACACACACACACACACACACACACACAGGTAGGTTCCCACCAGTCTTAAGGAAAGTGTTTCTTTGAGGGGGAGGGGCGTCGCTGCATCTGCAAGACAAAAGTTTTTTTTATTTTCCACCTTCAATCTGCTGATTTTAGAGAAATCAGTTCATCTGCAAAAACATCAAAGAGATCAACAATAAAGCTGAAGCTTCAACCCTCATCAGGTTAGAGACATGTGAGCGTCTCCAGAGAACATTTTAAAACACTTCAGGAGCTGAAAAGTGACGAGAAGCTGAACAAACTGTAAACGTGTGTTTCATGTCAAGACACCAACAAATCTCTCTCTAACCAAACAGCCTCGGAGCACAGATTCACTCCTTCACCACAACGTTTTTTATTTTCAGATTTAGAAACAACGTTCAGGATTTTGTTCTGGAGAACGTGAGAAAAAGTTTTAAAACATCAGAAAGAGATCTCACATCACAGCGTCTCTGCACTGACTACATGTTTGTTTTAGAAGTGAATTTAAGATGATGGCCGTGCACCCCCTTATGAGCCCACCAGAGCCCTCAGGTCTCCTGGTCGTGGTCTTTTAATTGTTCCAAATGTCCAAACTAAAACCTACGGTGAGGCATCTTTTTATTACCCCCCCCCCCTCGTCTGTTTAACAGTTTACCACGAGAAACTTTTTGAAAAGTAGAGCTTTTAACTGAATCTCATTTCATCTGGTTTTATTACAACCTCCCGTGTTTCCTCATTTAGAATAAATGTTTCCTCAGTTCCTGTTCTTAGTTATTTTGACCTTGGATTGTGGGGGAGGGGTGGGGGAGGGGGTCATGTTGATGTAAAGCACTTTGGGAAACATTTGTTGTATGAAAAGTGCTTTCCAAATAAAGTTTGATTGACTGATGATAAAACATGTACACAGGTCGACTGTTGGTCTGGAGCGTGTTGGTTAACTTTCAGTCTCTGTTGAGGATTTGTAAAGAGATTCAGTTTGTGGTCGGTGGTGGGGGGGGCTGTCAGCTGACGTCAGAGGAAACACTCAGCTTTACTGACAGTCAGAGGACGGAGCTGCAGCGTCAGGATCTCTGCAGGCCTGAGGTTAGCTCTGCAGAACAGAGCAGGGGTTATCCGGGTTAGGCTCCGCCCCGGGTCAGGGTCAGGGCCAGGTTACCGCCGGATTTACCAGAATCTACAACAATCAAAAAAAACATCAACGCTGATTCAACAGAAGGATAGTTTAATGATTGGTTGATAAATCTGACCTACCTTTGAAGAACACTTCTCATAACTCTGAAACATTCAGGCTGCGTTACAGTTCTCAGTGTGCAGATTTAAAACCTGACTTTGGACTTACAGATTTATTTTGAGTCCTTGAAGAATGAAGCGTAGAAGATGTGCAAAAAATCGATTTAGATTCTTATCTTCTGAGAGTTTAAATTGATTCATAACTTCCTAAAATCGATGAATTGTTGTCAGAGCAGCCAGCACTTCAACATAGCACATTGCCTTTAATGTCTAATTCAGAAAATGTGTGCTCAAACAGGCTGTTTGGAGATTCTCCCTTCATGACATCACAAAGGGCAGTAGCCCCTCCCCCAGGTGGGTGACACTCCCACAGCTAGGTGTTTGTTCTGCCCTCTGAGTCAGCCTTCTCACCGTAAACAATAGGACATGGAGAGAGAAAGCACTGAGTACACCCAAGACCTTCCAGAGAGGGGGCGTGGTCAGACACAGCTCATTTACATATTTAAAGGTACAGACACAGAAACAGCCTGTTCTGAGCAGGGCTGAAATAGAGGGGTTTATAGACATGATCAAATACAGGATCAGAGTGGATTTAGAACAAGAAACTTCACACACATGTTGGAGAGGAGCTCTGAGACTTATTTACACTGAAGAAGAGGAGGAGGATATGAGACCTTCCTTAGTTTCACCTCTAACATGATTCCTCATGAGACTTTCTGTCTGTCTCTGTTTGGTCTTAAAGATTTCCTCCCTGTGTTTACTCTTCAGGTGACTGAGTTGAGGCAGAAGGCTTTGTCGTACCGTCAGCGAGCCTGGGGAGCTCATTTCTCCAGAGATCACCTGAGCCAGCTGCGGTCCGAACACACCGCTCTGTGGGAGCCGACAGACACCACCACAGACTCTAATAGTGACCCGCCCAGTCCCCCCTGCCCGATGTCTGAGTCCCACCCTGATGCAGACAATTGCGGCTCGTCCCGTGTGGAGGCTCTGGACCTGATCAGGTGAGAGACTGAGCGCTCAGAGGGAAAACACATCATGTGAACGCTGAATCCTGAGTGTCTGTCTCTGGTGTTTCAGTTGCTCCAGTAACTCCAGTAAAAGATCTTCTGTTGTGGGTTCAGGAGAAACACAACACACAAACAAAAACACACAAACAGAAGCACACACACCCCCGAGTCCTGCTGCTGAGAGACGCACGGCCTGGAGAGAAGAAGAGGAGGAGGACGCTGACGAGTAAGTTCATCTCCACAGATCAGTCCAACATCAAACAGGTGTGTGTGTTTGTTCATGTGTGTGTGTGTGTGTGTGTGTGTGTGTGTGTGTGTGTGTGTGTGTGTGTGTGTGTGTGTGTGTGTGTGTGTGTGTGTGTGTGTGTGTGTGTGTGTGTGTGTGTGTGTGTGTGTGTGTAGAGAGGAGGGACGGTTACCGACTCCCAGGCTGAAGCTGCTTCCTGTTCAGAGGACTCACCATGACCTCACCACTCCCTCCACAGGTAACACACAAAGTGTCTTCGTTAAGACCATTAAGACCATTAAGACCATTTGTACAACAAGGAGGAAAACAAGCACCACTGTTGACCTCCAGTCTTTGTTTGTCCTCTAGGTGGCGCTCTTCTGGTGGGGAAAGTGAAAGGCGCCGATGGATCATCTCCCCACAAACAGGTGATTCACTTTCTTCTTAGTTTGGTAAAATAAGTTAAATCATAAATCATGGTATTTGATTTCATAACTTTGATGTCATTGGTGTATAGAGGTCTGTTTCAGCTGTTTCCATGGCAGCGGGGGCGGAGACTGCAGTCAGCGTGCTGGACAAACCAAAGGAGGTGTGGTCAGAGAATAGCCCCTCCCACCATGCTTCATTGGGTCCCTCCCCTGAGCACAGACCAGCTGCCAGTCCTCCCTCTAAACCAATCAAATCAAAGCTAACACCAGTATCCTCTGCAGCCCCGCCCCCTCTAGTCCCGCCCCCTATGCACGGTATCCATGGCACCCTGAGACATCCAGACTTTCAACACAACGGTGAGTTCAACAACAAAAAATATTTACTTTGTTTTTTGATGATCACTGATCAGTTCTCTCACCTGTGTCTGCCCTCACCTGTGTGTCTGCCCTCACCTGTGTGTCTGCCCTCACCTGTGTGTCTGCCCTCACCTGTGTGTCTGCCCTCACCTGTGTCTGTCCTCACCTGTGTGTCTGTCCTCACCTGTGTGTCTGTCCTCACCTGTGTGTCTGCCCTCACCTGTGTCTGTCCTCACCTGTGTGTCTGCCCTCACCTGTGTGTCTGCCCTCACCTGTGTGTCTGCCCTCACCTGTGTCTGTCCTCACCTGTGTGTCTGCCCTCACCTGTGTCTGTCCTCACCTGAGTGTCTGTCCTCACCTGTGTGTCTGCCCTCACCTGTGTCTGCCCTCACCTGTGTGTCTGCCCTCACCTGTGTCTGTCCTCACCTGTGTGTCTGTCCTCACCTGTGTGTCTGTCCTCACCTGTGTGTCTGTCCTCACCTGTGTGTCTGCCCTCACCTGTGTGTCTGCCCTCACCTGTGTGTCTGCCCTCACCTGTGTCTGTCCTCACCTGTGTGTCTGCCCTCACCTGTGTGTCTGTCCTCACCTGTGTGTCTGCCCTCACCTGTGTCTGTCCTCACCTGTGTGTCTGCCCTCACCTGTGTCTGTCCTCACCTGTGTGTCTGCCCTCACCTGTGTGTCTGTCCTCACCTGTGTGTCTGCCCTCACCTGTGTGTCTGTCCTCACCTGTGTGTCTGACCTCACCTCACCTGTGTGTCTGACCTCACCTGTGTCTGTCCTCACCTGTGTGTCTGTCCTCACCTGTGTGTCTGACCTCACCTCACCTGTGTGTCTGTCCTCACCTGTGTGTCTGACCTCACCTGTGTGTCTGACCTCACCTGTGTGTCTGACCTCACCTGTGTGTCTGTCCTCACCTGTGTGTCTGACCTCACCTCACCTGTGTGTCTGTCCTCACCTGTGTGTCTGACCTCACCTGTGTGTCTGTCCTCACCTGTGTCTGATTATTACTCTCTCACCTGTGCGTACTCAGGTGAGCTGGGTTCAAGGTTCAGAGAGCGCCCGTGTTCAGGTGGAGGCTGCTGCTCAGATGAAGGTACTTATTTTAAAAACTAAAATCTTTTGTCATCAATTTATTAAAAATAAAATTAAAATCATCCTCCCGTTTCCTAGACGACCGGCTGTCTGTGATGTCGTGGCGCTCTGCTGCCTCCTGCTCCATGGCGTCGGCCGTGTTGGAGCGCGCTCAGAAGAGACGGGAGAACTTCTGGGGGAAGAGATGACCTCTGACCTCCTGACCAGATCACAGCTGTTACCATGGAAACAATCGTGTTAGTCCATCACTGTTGTACCATGATTAGTCAGAATGATGTTTTTTTATAGAGTTATTTAAATCACTGATGATCGTTTCTATTCTGCAGCTCGTGAAGGTTTAATTTTGTGTATTTATTTTGAAAGATTGTTTGAGTTCCGTTAAGACTGAAGGAGGTTAAAGGTCATCACATGAGGAGACTCAGAACAGATCCTCCATTATCTCATCATGCTTACACGGCAAGATCTGAAATCATGACTCATCACGATGTTACTAAGTTATCGTGCCCGGCGAAGGAACGCACCACCTTATGTGACCTCATGTGACCTCATGCGACCTCACGTGACCTCATGCGACCTCATGTGACCTCGTGACCTCGGGTGACCTAATGTGACCTCATGTGACCTCTGGAGCTGCAGGTTAAATGTGTGATTCTAAAGCTTTGTGTAGAAAAACAAACGTCTGAAGAGACAACATATGTCGTCTGTTCTTCAGTGAGAGGTCAGAGGTCAGATTGAAACTGTCAGACGTGTTTCAGGTGTCCGGCTCACCTGTACGGGTTGCATCTTGCCGCCAGTCGCCATGACTACAGTCCACTTATTACTTGTCTCTCGGGGTTGTTGTCATCACACACGACTTCCTCCCATGATGTAATCGTGCTGTAATCTGATGGTCTGTGCTGCTGTAAATCTGATGAGATGAGATCTTTGTTTGTTTGTTATGAGCTCTTTACCTGTAACATCTGTAATGTTGCTGTTTAATAAATGAAATCTTCAAACACAGTCTGAGCTTCACTGAGTTACAAGATCAAAACAAGAACCGCTTTGTGTTTCATGTCAGCAGAAATCAAAATGTTTACCATCAGTCAGAAGATACCCGGGGTCCAGTTTGTTTCCTGATAAAGTTTTTCATGTTTTAACTAATCCAGACACTTCTGACTTTAAATACACACGAGCGAGCTGACGTCACACACGGAGACCACCTGTCGTCTCAGATCACCTGACCACAGGTGACCCTGTATGCTGTGTAAACATTTAAATACACGGTCGGTCATGTATGAACCGCTGAGCTGTGAATTTCCCCCATCAGGATGCAAAGGGCAGAACAAACAAAGCACACAGAGTGGGCGTGGCCTCTAGAGATATTCATGTTTGAAGCCTGAGTGACATTATGTGTTCCTGCAGGGGGCGCTGGAGTCCCCCTGAACAAACCCTGTTCAGCTCGAGTTAC